CTTCCTTCCTTCCTTCCTTCCTTCCTTCCTTCCTTCCTTCCTTCCTTTCTTTCTCTTTCTTTTCTCTTTCTTTCTTTCTTTCTTTCTTTCTTTCTTTCTTTCTTTCTTTCTCTCTCTCTCTCTCTCTCCCTCCCTCCCTCCCTCCCTCCCTCCTTCCTTCCTTCCTTCCTTCCTTCCTTCCTTCCTTCCTTCCTTCCTTCCTTCCTTCCTTCCTTCCTTCCGTTTCAAAAGAAGGGAGGCTGGCGGCTGATGCGACACAAGAGGGCAGCAGCGAAATCTGTCTGAGTCAAGGGAGGCTTTCCCCAGGGTATCTCCTGGTCCTCCCCTCCTCCCTTTGGGCCTCAGATAATTGGAGACCCTTGGGGGGGGGTCTACCCCATGCCCCCCCCCCCCCGCTTCTCCTCCCTTGGGACACACAAAGGACTTCTCACGCGCCGCCTGGATTTGCAGCCTGTGAGACGCCAAGGTGCCAGCTAGAAAGAGAAACCAGAGCAGGGGAAAGTTTCTTCTTTTCCTCTTTTCTGGGGCAGAAAAAATAAAAATAGACACCCAGGCCAGGAAGGCGATGTTATCTGACGTCTGAAAGGCCCGGAACGGACAAGAATATCCTGCCAGGTCTGGAAGTTTCCTCTGAGAATCGTCTGCTCTCCCCTCTAAACACACGAGGGCTGCCTCTTTTCAAGCGCAGGCTTCAAAATCAGACCTTTTTTGGGGGGTAGGGGGGGTGTCAAAGGCCCTTGGAGACAAAGCTATGAGGGGACTCCAGGGAGAAGGATTGGGGACACCCCACACCCCGCAATTCTCTCTTCCCCGGCCGCTCGAGAAGAGCAAGACAATTCTGTGAACTGGTTTCCTGCAGGAGAGATTGGGAGCCCGGTCGAAGGGACGTGGCGGCATTTGGGGCAAGAGGGGCAACAGTTCTCCAACAGACCCCCAAAGTGCCTCTTCCGGTTCTAATCCTCTGAGAGGCACAATTAGAAACCTGAAGGTCCCGTGGATTTACAGCGCACAACCGTCCACGAGAGCAAAGCACGAGGCAGGGAGGCTGTTTTGGAAGGAGCGCTCCTCAGCTTCGCCTCCACCTTCCTGTCCACGAACATCCTCCCTTGCCTCCTGCACAGACGGCCTCTGACTTACATCCGCCCGTTGAGTGACCGTTGGAAGTCGCAACAGCACTGGAAGGAGGGGCCGGCAGAGGAGTCCTTGGCCGTGATCTAGATGGGGATGCTCTAGAACAGGGCTCCCCAAACTTGGCCACTTTAAGACTGGTGGACTGGAAAAAAACGACAACAACAAAAAAAGACTGGTGGACTTCAACTCCCAGAATTCTCTGGATGTGTCCAGGCCGCATCTTTGAGCATAGCTGGCTGGAGAATTCTGCGAGTCGAAGTCCACCTGTCTTAACCTGGCCAAGATTGGAGACCCTCTAGAACATAAGCCATGGTTTAATGGCGGGTCAGAATTGGCTGGGTTCATCCATCAGAATAAGCCGGGTGATTCCGTCTTCACCGTCTCTATGTTGGGTGGAAGCAAACTTCTCTCTAAGGCCCCAGGGACCCCCCAAGACCAATGGCTCAGCCTTGGATGTGGGGCGGGCCCCATCTTTGAGCATAGCTGGCTGGAGAATTCTGGGAGTCGAAGTCCACCCGTCTTAACGTGGCCAAGTTTGGAGGCCTCTGGTCCAGAATAATCTTTCGGAAGAAATTAATCTACTTTTCTCTCTTGCTGCTGTTGCTCTCCGGGGGTCTCCAGATTCCTGCAGCCCCCAGATCCCCCCGCCTCTCCCTCCCCCTGCCAGGAAAAGGCTAGCAGGAAATACTCAGTGAACTGATTCAATTACATGCCAAGGTCTGGACAGTGAATCTTCAACAAGACCAGACGAGGCCTTTCCAGGACTGTCTCCGGAGCCTTTAATTGGGGGTGGGGGGTGGGGGAGAGAGAAAAAGAAGGGGGCGGGGCAGAAGGAATGCCCCCTCCCCTCCTGCCTTTCTTGAGCCCACCTTTCTCAGGACCTGGGAAGCGAGAGGAGGGGAGGGGGCTCCAGGAAGAGACAGGGGATGTGGCTGAGAAGCACAGTCATTGGGGGAGGCTGAGCAGAGAAACATGGGGTGGGGGGGGTGGGGGGGCTTATCTACATTTCCTTAATGAATAATAACTAAACCTGGGAAGGTTCAGCTGCACCCCTTGTCGCATCACCATATATTTGCAGACCTTCTGACGGCAGAAGGCGGAGGGAAGAAACGAGCGGAGAAGGGGCTGGGAGAGGAGGGGGTCCGGATCCCCTCCTCGGCTCCTGAGCACCTACCTTGTGTTTAGGGCAGTTGAGCAAGAAGGTCTCCTCAGCTAACAAACAACCTGGTGGAGAGAGAGAGAGAGAGCAGGGAAATGTCAACGGAAGAGGTCCCGGGTTGCCCACGAAGGAGAACGTGGGGGGAATATTTGGGGCTCAGGGCTGAAGTGAGGCGTCCTGGCTGCTCTCGGAGCTTGGTGGCTTTCTTGCGGGCGTTTCATGACCCAACTAGTGAGGGCTAGGAGGGAGCGGGGACCAACCTCTAGCACTGAGGATGATACCCAGTTGGGTCGTGAAAGGTCGGTGAGAAAAAAAACGGGCTCAGAAAGCAGCCAGGAGGCTCCAGAGGCCCTGAGATCCGGCCGTTCCTTTTTCTTTCCTTCATTCAGGAAATCCCCTTTGCCTTTCCTTCCTCTTTCTACCGGAATCTCAGCCAGATTCCCTCTCTTTTATCTCCCCCAGTTCTCTTGGCCACCTTCCTAAAGAGGAAATGGGCAGCTAACTCTTTGCTTGTTCCAACTGCAGGCGAGAGAGAGAGAGAGAGAGAGAGAGAGAGAGAGAGAGAGAGAGAGAGAAGAGAGAGAGAGAGAGGGAGGGAGGGAAGGAGGGAGAGGGAGGAGATGGAGGGAGAGAGAGAGAGAGGGAGGGAGGGAGGGAGATGGAGGGAGAGAGAGAGAGAAGGAGGGAGAGAGAGGGGGAGGGAGAGAGAGAGAGAGAGAGAGGGAGGGAGGGAGAGGGAGGGAGATGGAGGGAGAGAGAGAGAGAGAAGGAGGGAGGGGGAGAGGGAGGGAGAGAGAGAGAGGGAGTCATCTACCATTTCAACCCACCGTCTATTGAATAATTCCCCCTTTTTTGGGCTGCCTTGGAAAGGACAGTTCCACACCTGCCCCCTTCGGAGACCCGCATCCCTGAGACTCCAGGCTGGGCCCTTTCGCTGCAGGAATACTGCAGTTGTGCAACTAAATACTTGCAAGCAAGCAAGCAAAAGAGAGAAAAAAAGGGCTCTTTTGCTCCAAGGGAAGCTCCTTCCAAAGGCTCGGCGGCGGCATTGCTCCCGCCTTTTCAAACGGCAACAGGGATGTTCTTCGCAGCAGCCACCAGAAGAGGAAGGAGGCGGACCCGCGGCTTGTCTTTTTCCAGTTTCCTCCTTCTTTGCCCTGTGATGATGCGCGGTGCCTCTCCCTCCCTCCCTCCCTCCCTCCCCCCCTCCCTTTCCGGATTTCAAATAACGGGCTTCAAAATGAGGTGTGTTTCTCACATCCTGTAGCGGAATGGAGAGATAACCTTGACGGAAGGTCTGCAGGAGCCGTCAAGGGAAAATAAGCAGCTCGGTCCCAGGAGGGAGGGAAGGAAGCAGGAGAAAGAAACTCCAAATCCTTCCAGCTTGATTCTCTTTGGAGTAAAGGGGGGGGGGGTCAAAGGCCAAACCTGGCAGCCTTTCGAGATGCTGCTGTGACACCCCGTAACATGGGAAGAGCATTTCTGGAAGCCTCCTTTCCTCACCGGGTCTACCTCGAAGGCAAGGCTGGCCAGGAGGAAAAACCACGCTGCTAGCTGCCCTCGTTGACTACGGAGATACTCAACCATCCAGCCCATAATTGTCCCAGAGGTGCTTTTCCAAAAGGCAACTGGACTTCCTTGGTTTTTTTCCCCCCCCTTGGAAATGTTTCCCTCCTCATCCAAGGAGCTTCTTCAGTTCTGAGCTGAAAAACCGAGGAAGAACCGAGGAAGCTTCTTGGATGCGGAGCAAAAGGTTTTTAAGGGGGGGGGGGAAACCCAGGAAAGCCCAGTTGCTTTTTGGAAAAGACCCTTTGGGAGAAGCGCCTTAGCACTGATCAAAACTCACTTGGCTTTTTAGGTGCACACGTGGCAGACATTAAAAAGAACAGGTGGGACTTTGGTGGCCCTGAGACGGCCACCATCTTGATTTTTTCGGGCTCTGCACCCCGAGGACACCCCCTGCCTGAAGAGCAGAGAGCTCCCCAATGATTTGCAATTCTTCGCCTCCCACCTGTGAGACGCTTACCTTCGTCGAGGGCACATGTGTAGTGAAATGTCTGGGTGCACCCCTTGTGACAGCAGCCGATGGTCGCCCCGACTCGTTGACAGCCGGAACACCTCTGCAGTCGGCAGGGAGGGGAAGAAAAGAGAAAGTCCATGAGCCCCAGACGGTGGCACGGAGCTGGACTCTACCCAAAGCAGCTTTCCGACAAGAACCTCCACTCCATCCAGAGTGAGTTTGGGCCAAGGTCACCTCCTGGAGGCTCAACGTCCTTGACGTTTACCTGAACTAATTGGAATTTGTGACGGTTGTCCTTCCCTTGTGCCAGAAAACATAACTTATTGCATCCTCTTATTGCATAATTGAACCCTCATTTTCATATTACTGGAGTCCGTCGCGCTGCTCAAACCATCTAGCGAAGTTGGCTGGAATTGACAGATTTGCAAAGGAATTCTAGCAGATCCCACTTTAGTAAAACTTAGCCCTAACAGGAGTCACTCTTGGGCATGCACAGCTCATTCGTGACACATCTGACGAAATTTACACGTCTGAGAAAGTTTCCTGACTTGGGAACTCACTGAATGTAGGGTCTCTGTTTCGCACCAGTGTTATTTATAAAGGTAAAGAAACACCAGAATTACGTGTAAGCAATGTCGTTTTTCTGGCAGTTCCTTGTACAGCCAAGGGATGAACCAGCTGTTTTAAGCCTTGCTGGGGAATATGTCCTATGGTGGGAGTGAGAGTGAACTTCCAAAGAGACTTTTTATGGCATAAAATTTTGATGCATGCAAGGAAGCAAATGAAAACCTCCCCAGTTTGACACCTGTCCATATTCTGCCTGAAGCCCCCTCACTTCTGGCTCACGTTCCGCAATTCAACTGCACGCACTAATAGTAACTTTTTTCCAACCCACAACCACAACGTGATCTTCTGTACTGCAGACACTTAAAAATAGCGACATTAGGACTTTGGAAAGGGGGTGTCTTGGTTATCAGTACTGGGGGAGTTTGGGATCACCCATGGTTGCAGCTAGCCATGGTTTCAGGCAGGTACTCAACATGGACCTTTGAAGGTGCTCAGATCCTGGACTGAGTTGCTTCCTAAAACTACTCCCGCTTCGCCAGGGTCAGAAAAAAGGGTGGCTACCTTATGGAGGAAGATCTGCCAAGGGCGGCCTTGACCAATTGGCAGATCTTCCTCCACAAGTCTGCCTCAGAGGCCCTGATGAGGTGAGCCCTCTGCCGGGTGGCCCACAAAAACGACCTGAGATTTAGGTCCCTGAATTTGGCCGCTAACACCCACGTGTGTCCCAGCACTGATGGCCTTCAGCAAAATTTCAGGCTTTGTCTCTTTCTTCCTCTTTTGCAGAATGGTGGGGCTTTTTTCCAAGCCCCCCCTTGGCTAAACGAGACGCCAATTTCCTGACCATCTACGTGGAGCAGATGCTGTCCAGTCTCTTAACACGCGTCTTTCCTAATTTCATGAGGACAACACGGCTTGCAGAGACCGCTTCTCAACGATGAGACTCCGCTTTTTTGAAGGATACTTTGGAAACAGGCGAAAGGACGGTGGGTTAGAAAGAAATGTGTCCCAGATGAAGAAGGGGCCGCAAAACCTTTACTTTGGGGAGATGCCCTCTACAAAAAAAAATAAAAAAATAAAAGATGCTACTGTCTGAAAAAACCAGCCAAGCGAAGTCCTGAGAGAGAAGAAGATCTACCGCCTTGTACAGCAGCTGAGAGGGCCCGAAGCAAGCAAGAGAGACCAACACATTATCTACTTCCTTTAGAAGGTCCTGGGTTATTTCCCAAGAGACACACACCCCTGGTGCACAGTGCCCTCTCTGGTTTCTTATATTTCTCAGCCATGCCTTGCACTACCCTGACAGCGTGAGCTCCTCAAATCCCTATTTAGTGGGATCCGCTGGAAAAAAAATGTGGATATTTGGACAGAAAACTCACAAGGGGCAGATCATTCTCGTTGTTACACTTTGGGGGATCCACAGAAAGTTGCACAGCTACCACCAACTCTTGCCTAAAGGAACCTCCATGAGCAGGCATAACATACCCCAGCATGATCCATGACAAAGACCCACAGCCTTCCTGCTCCACTGGTGGGCATGCAAGAGGCACCAAGCGGAAATGGCATTCTAGCCACCATCTGAACCCTTCCAGGAAGCCCCCAGCAACTTGAGAGAGGCAGAGATTGTTCTCCTGAAGGGTCCCATCCTCCCTCCACCCAGGGAGTCACTTTGACAGGAGTTTCTTCCCGAGCTTCCTGGTATGATTATACCCCCTTTAAGGACAGAAGAAGACCTAGTTATATCCAAGTCTTGGGTTGGAGCGGTGTTCGTGGTGTTCTCTGAGCTTGGCTGTTTTCTTGCAGATGTTTCATTACCCAAACCAGGTAACATCATCAGCGTTAGTCAGTGTCGTTTTACCTAGTTTGAGTAATGAAATATCTGCAAGAAAACAACGAAGCTCAGAGAGCAACAAGGACCTTACGGTCCTCCTTCTCCTCTTCCTCTTCTTCCTCCTCCTCCTCCCCACTGCAAACCCCACTCCTTTCTAGCATTGATGGTGTTACCTCGTTGGGTCAAGAAACATCTGCAAGAAAACAAGCTCAGGGCGCACCAGGGAGCCCCCATGAACACCCTGAGCTACAAATATTCTTCTTAATTAGTCTTCGGACCTTAAGTTGGTCTGAAGTTTGCAAACCCAGGACTTGGATACAGCCGTGTTCTTCTTACGTTCTTATAGGGGGTACCTGCTTTCCCAAGCAAGAAGACAAACCTGATAGACCATCGATGGAACAATTACGTGGAGAAATCCTAAACTTTCTAGAGTTGATCCAACGAGAAGCAACCAGGTGGGATCATTAGGATCTGACAGACTTGGCTGGATTCCTTGGCTATTCCCCAAAGGCTGCTGCAGGTACAGATCTGAGTAGCTCCCAATTTTGGCTACCCCACTGCCTTCCTCCCCTCCCACCACAGCCTCTTGCCGTGCAGCTTCCTCGTCTCTGACCAGCACTAGGTGAGCCTGTCATGGTTTCTGTCCCCAGGGACACCCCAATTGCACTCAGGGCATTCCTCTTACCACGTCCGCGGCCATCTTTATTGCCTCCTGCAGTCCATAGAGTTTCCCTGCCACCAGGTACACCCCAGCTGTCCATACAGCACAGGCTTCGTGAACCCAGTGCTCCTGCGTCTCTCCGGCAGGGTCCGGCAGGGGCGATTCAGCCTTGCCGCATTCGTGCCTCCGAAGCTTCTCAAGCGCTGCTACTGACACCCCAGCCGTAGCCTCCTCTCCCTCTGTCCTCTCATCGCAACAGTAACAGCTTTGCAGCTTCCTAAACAGCCCCCTTGAACTCGAACGCAGAGCGCTTTGTCTCGCTGAGTCAGCACCACTGTCCAACCTTGGCGTCTTTCCACCCAGCGTACCAGTTGCGCAATTATTATCTGTTGCTTTGAGCAGCCTTTCTGCCAACGAGGAGGAGGAGGAGGGAGGAGGCCCTTCCCCCAGGGCTTCCACTTTGACCTTCTCTTTCAGTCTCGATTTCTTCTTCGGCAGGCAGTCCTCGGGGTAGTATGGCCCACAGAGGTCCCCCTGGTCTTTGTAGTTGGCCGGCTGGCGGCACAAACAGCAGACCAAGCAGGCAGCATTGAGGGCCTTGGAGACCACCGGCCCGAGGTGCATCATGGATGACAGAGGTAGGATGGCTGGAGGCCGCAGACAAGCGGTCCCCAAAAGCCCAGCTTGGGCAGACAAAGAAGAAAACGAAGAAGTGTGATGCTGCTGCTGCTGCTGATTGTGGAGTTTCGCCTCTTCGGCTGGGCAGTTGATGACCGTGCAGGTGGTGAGGAATTCATCCCACTTCTCCATCCGAATGTACGGCGAGAAGGGTGGTGCCCGGCTGTCTGCCCTCAGCCGCTTACAGGAGACGTACTTGAGCCGGATCTCGGGCTCCGTGGGGCTCAGCAGAGGCGCCTGCTGTTGGTGCCGTTGCCGGGTCTTGTTTTTGCACCGCGAGGGTACGCTTTGGACCTTCCGGCGCTTGTGATGCTTCCTTTGTCTCTTGGTGTAGCCGTTGTAGTTGGCATGGTGGGCTCGCTGCTTCTGGGCCCGGGTTTGCGCCTGGGAGGACTTCCCTTCCACACTCTCGGTGCTTCCCAAGCCTTTGTCTTCTCCTCTGGGCTTCTTCCCTTCCCTTTGTCCTTCATCGCCTTTCCCAGCTGCCGTCGCCACCGCCACCACCCCGGGTTTCTCTTGGGCAGCAAGGAACAAAGCTGGGCTCAGGTGAGGGCACTTCTCCAAGCTATTTTTGGCCACGTGGAAGGAGGCAGCTTTCCCCTTTCTGTTCCTCTTCTTGGGCAGCAGGCAGACGGTGCTCGCAGCCATGCTGTCGCCGCTGAGCTGCAACATCTCGGGAGATGAATAGGCCTCACCCTGGAAGCAGTTGGAGGACAGTTTCTTACTGTTCATTAGTTTTCCTCTGAAGGATCTGTTGTTCGGGTTTCTGCATAATTGCTTGGCTGCTGCAGCGGCGGGCACCTTTTGTGACAAAGCCTGGTTTAATGGCTGAGCTTCCCCCACGGCTGGGGTTCCGCTCGTATTCTTTGAGGCCTGTTCCCGCTCTGGAAGGGAAGGGCTGAGAGGATTACTGTTGGCGGCAGCAGCTGCCGTGGCTGCGGAAACGGGGATGGCGGTGGCCACCGTTCTGCAGGCAAACTTTTTCAGGTTGGGAGAGGTGATCTTCTGCACAATCGCTTCCAGCTTCAATCCCCTTCCTTTCCTCGGGGGCAGCACTTTGGTCTTCATAGCGCCCTGGAAGGAAGCCCGGGAGGTGATTTTGATGCAGACCCCTGGGTTTTCTTTTGCCTGGGGGGACTTGAGCATCACTTCGCAGGAGTTCTTGGGGGACAGTTTCACGTTGGCTCGCCTGGAGGACGGCATCCTCTTAAAAAGGCCCGAAGACACATCTGGCTTCTCTTCCTTCCCGCTGCTGCTGCTGCTGCTGCTGCTGCTGTGATTGTTGCTTCGTAGGATCAGGTTCCGTTTCTTCGCGGGAATCGGGGGCAGGAAAACAGACTTTCTTTTCAGGGCATGGAGTGGCCTCTCGACTATCTTGCCGACCAATTCTGGCCTGGTTTTCATTTGTTTGCCTAGCTTGCTCTCCTTCTCAGAGCTGATCTTGAAGGACCCCGGCAGGTGGTGGTTGGGGAACACCTTCCTGGGCAGTTTGGCAGTTTTGAAGTCCACTTCCACCATGTTTTTCTCTCTCCTTCTCTTGGTGTAGAAGACCTCCTGAGTCCGGGTCCTAGAACGGAGAATCATAGATTGTTGATCTTTCATCTCGGTTTCTACAGGGTCGGCTTCTTTGGCCTTGGGAACAGCAGAATCTTCATTCTGGGTCAAAGTGGAGATCAGGGGAGGAGACAGGTTGCAGGGCTTTGGTGACGTCTTCCCATTGGCCTTCCGAGCTTTGAAGGCCACTCTCTCTTTCAAAACACACATTGACTTCTTGCCCGCCAACTTCTCGTGAGGAGTTGAAGCTTTGGCACCTTCCAGAGGGTCTGGCATTCGCGGCTCGATCATTGCAGTAAAGGAACGGGTACACATCCTGGCTGGCAAACCTTCAGTGGGGAACCTGGGAGTCTGGCCATGGGTGTTCTTACTGGGCATTTCAATCAAGTTGTTGGGAGCTGGGCATGTATTGGCCACCAGGCCAGCTGCTTGAATGCCCGAACATGGATTTGACATGGACTGAATAGATTCTTCTCCACCCGACAGCCGACACTGCAGCTTCTTGCTCCGAAGACTTTTACCTCTGGAGGTTGGTTCTGATGTTATGGTCAGCTTATCTGGTAGGACTTGTTTCTTCAACAGAAAGGTAGTTGGTGTCTCTGTCTTCTCTTGAGGGACACTGTCACCAGCTGCTGACTCTTCCTTGGACTTCAAGTGATGCAGAGAAGTTTCAAACCAGCTTTTCACTTTCGTGTCTGTGCCAACTGCTGGTCCTAAAAGGAGAACGGATGGATCAGACAAATGAGAAGGAGGAGCGGTGTTCTCCTTCTCCACGGTGTGGGTTGCTTCTTCTGCTGATCCTGGAGTATCTTGGAGAGAAAGAACTGGAGCGTTCTCTGCAGGCTTAGGGGTGAAGGCATCGTAAGTCAAAGTCTTTTGCTCGGAGCCAGCTAATTCACACAAGGAGGAATACTCCTCGGGTTCCAAATCAGATTCTTTTAGGTCTGGAGAAGACATCATGGGGAGTTCACTGAAGTCTTCTCCTGAACAGGAGTTCCTGGCCGTGTCCTCCAGCCATCGTTCACTCTCTGTCCTTGTGGCCTCATCATAATTTAAGGCCTCCCCTTTGCTGGCCTGCTGCTGTTGGCTGAAGCCCGTGATTCCCTCGCCTTCATTGGGCCCCTCAGGGCCACAGAGACTCAAGCAGGAGGCATTTTTTTTCTCCTCAGAAGGCTCACTCAGTTTGCCAGAGAATAAACTCTTGGGAAGATCTGAAGATTGGAGGCTTGACCCAAGCTCTTTCCAGGTGTCGCTGAGGTTCTCGTCTGGCCACTCAAAGTTCTCCATGGCATTTTCAGAACTCACTGAATTGGCAGTGGCATTGGAATAGCAGCTGAAGCTTCCGGGGGTCTCAGAACTGGAGGTGGCCACTGAGATGTTTGGCTTGGCGTTGTAGCCCACAGAGCTGGTGGTTTTTAGGGAATTCTTCGTCTCGGTTGTTGTGAAGGAAACCTGGGAGCTGTCATAAACCTCCTCAGTGAAATTCTTCCCATTATTGCGCCCCAGTCCTTTGTCTATTTTCAAGGGTTCGGCAAGAGCGTTGGAGTCCCCCTGGTTGGACCAGGGGCTTTTGACCACAGAATCAAGGCAAGTCCTGTGGTTCTCCAAGTGGAAAGGAGATTTGTCTGGGTCTTTGTTTGGAGCAGGAGAATTGGCCCAGCCTTTGTCTGCTTTCTCGTTGATAGCATCCTGCAGACCGATAATTTCAGATGCCAGCTCCTCTTGAGAAAGGGCACTGAGGAGCAACCGGGGGCAGTCTCTTTCGCCAGCCACAAACTTGGTAAAGCTCTCCAACGGCAGGCTGGTGTGAATGCTTTGGAAGGAATCGTCGGATTTGGTCGACATGTCATCCGGAGACGTCACCGAGCAGGTGGACACAGATTCGGGCTTGGGTTTGGAATTGCTGTTGACCCGAGCTGGACTACGGCTCTGGCTGCAGTACAAGAAGCCCCTCTCCAGCTGGTCTTCGGAGCCACTTAGGTAATCAGTGTCTTGGGTTTCAGCATGGACCGACTGGGGGGCACTGAGGGGGTCCGAGTGTGGAGTCCCCGCTTGCTCTGCAGAGTAATTGTTGCCCTCAGGGCTGCAGTGCTGTCCCTTGAGCTGCTCTGGGGTCCTTGGCGAATTTTTGATCCCCTTCTTCTGTGGCATCCCCGTGGACTTGGAAAGGAGAAGCTGCTGGACAGTGTTGGAGATGTTTTCCACTTGAGAGGTAAGGGCCGTGAGGCTTTGGAGACTCAGATCTGACAAGAGGTTCTCGGGGATCTTCTCCTTCGACAAGTTCTTGCAGTTGGCAGGTGGCTGGGCATCGGAGCTGGTCCCATCGGTTGGCGATGGGTTCAGCAAAGGCATGAAGTGGCTATGGTCAGCCAGGCTGGCTGGGAATGTCCCAGGGGTCAGCGACTGCTGGCTATATTGGAAGTTCTCTAAGTTAGGCATCAACGGAGAAGGCGTTGAACTATAGGACGGGGACCTCCCAACGGAACGAGCCGGAGAGTGACTCGAGCTGGGGCTAAACGTTTGGTAATACTGGTCGGGTGTCCTCACCGGAGCGTCAGCTTGGCAGTAACTCTGTCCTGGCTGGTTATAATGTTGGTATTTTGCTAGGTTTTGATAGTGCAGCGCCTCCTGAGCATGGTGTCTACCTTGCAGAGAGGGTGGAGGGGGAGGGGGTGGAGGAGGAGGCGGCTGTTGCGGCTGCTGCTCGTAGCTGATCCGGTTGGGCTGGTAGCTGTGTAAACCCTGGACCCGTTGTGCAGCAGGCAAGCTAGTGGCACTGCCCAGACCCCTTTCATGCGTGGGTGGGGCAGGGGAAGGGTTGCAACTCTTGTAGGAATGAGCCGTCTGGCCCCCGCTCTGGACTGAGGTGTACGTGGAGGAAGCCGGGAAGGACTGGGAATGCTGCGGGAAGTGGGCCCCCTGCGAGAAGGAGAGCGAGGAGGACACCTCGCTTTGCATCTTCTGCCTGGGGAGCTTGGGGTACGTCAGGGGGGAGGGCTGGGGTCCCGGCTGCTGCTGGAGGTGCAAGGAGTGACTTCGGAAGGGCAGCTGGGGAGTCTGTTCGTGGTACTGCCTGCTACTGGACGGGGTCGCCGTCTTCTTCATCAGGTTGTCCTCGTACTTGGCCACCCCGCCAGGTAAGGCCTGCGGAGGCTGCTGCTGCTGCTGCTGCGGGGACCCCCACCCCTGCAGGCCGTCCTCTCCGGCGTAGCGGGAAGGGTAGGGGCTATTCTCTTGGATGGGGTAATTGGGGAAAGAAGCCGGCCTGCTGGGCAGCTGCTGGCTGCGTAACGGCTTATTGCTTCCCCGATGGTACTTCTCCACGGCGCTGTTTTCACCAAAGGCTTGGTACGGCAACGGGGGCAGCGGAGGAGGTGGCTGCTGGGGGCTGTAATACTCTTTTGTCACCAGCCTCTGACGTTCGCAGGCTGGGCTTTGATGCCTGTAATTCTCCAGGCGTGATGAATCTTGCGAAGAAGTCGGCTGGTAGTTCTGCTGGTTGCCATGGAAACCACACCTTTCACGAAAGGACTGCATGGCTGGGCCTTGTTATCTGCGGAGAGAAAAAGCAGAAACTGGAGGATTAAAGTCAACGCATTTTCCCCCTCCTCTCTCTCTCTCTCTGCCCCGCCCAACTTTTCACCTTGAATTGTGGCTTTGTCATTGGTTCTGCTTTGCAAACAAATAAACAAATGCCGGAGTTGAAGGCAGATCTCTATGTGTGGGTGGGTGGGTATGTTTCTCCTCCACTCCGGCTTTGCATTCTCCCCCAAATAGAGTCAACAATGCAGTTGTGTGCTGGTTACAATCCGTCTCTCTATACTGACACAGACTCACGCTTAGCCTGCTCTTGGGGGAACCAGGGAGGGATTTTAGCCAAGGCAGAAGAGGGTATCAGGGCTGTGGGTGCCCAGCACGCTAACCACAGAATAAGCCCGGCCCTATTTCTCTCCAGCCCTCAAGCAGGACGTATAGCTTGGCCCCAACCCTGAACAGCTGCCATTTTGTCTTTATGGATACCAGAATTCACAGCCTATGGAACGGCAATTCCTAAGGCCTGAATCAATCCCGGCTGAAGGAGCCACTCGTGGGAATCCGGCGATGGGGGCAGCGTGGCTAAACTTTCAGGAGGCTTAGCTCCTCCTCGATTCCCAGTAAAAGGCCTCCCAGTCCAACAAAGTCAGGGGGGGTTACCAAAATGTGGAATGTATCCCTTTGCGCAAGCAAAGGCGTGATTGCTTTGGGATATTCTCACGAGCTTAAAACAAAACCACACAGGCTGAATTGGAAACTCCTTTGAGCCGCAGCAAACAACTAGCATGTCAGCCTTCAAGCTGTGGGTACAAGGCAGGTTTGCAAATGAGAGGCATCGCATGAAGCTTATGCTCCATTTAAAACGCTGTCATCTCTTCGGTTATCTCGGCAGCTCACCCACTTCGCTGCAGGTGTGGCTGTCCTTAGAGGAAGCAGGAGCTGAACCGGGTGGGTGCTGCGTCGTCCTTTTCGTCCCCAGTTCAGCAAATGCCCCAACGTCGCCTAATTTTCCCTCCCGTCCCTGTGCTTCAGCCTGAGGAGGAAATGTCTGATCCTGCCCACCGGAAAAAAAATACAAGGAGGTGCAGCTGGTCATTTCCTGCTCTCTCCAGCAAACCTTCACCCTGGCAATTGTGCCGCCTGGACGTCTGGCGTTTTGCCCTTCACCTTTGCCTCTGTAAAAAGCACTTAGCCTGCGCAGCAAAAACAACAAAGGATCTTGAGGCTGTTTGAAGGGTCCCCAACACAGCACCGAGCGCAGATGCAGCCATTCCGGAATACCTGGCTAGTGTCTGTCTTTGTTGTTTGAACAGAGAGATCTTTCATCTGTGCTGAGATTCCTAGCCTCTGCAACTGGTTGGGTATTTCCAAACCCCGTCTCTCCTTGCCCCAACCAGCTATTCTATTCCCAACTGGTACACTTTGTAACTGGTGCAGTACCTCTGGAATCTGCCTGCTCCTTATGAGAGCAGTGATATATTTAAGAAATGCTGGGTTTCACAGTTCTGGTTGCACCAGAAACTCCATGGAGCACCCGCTGTTGTATTTTTAGGCACGACGGACGATGATGCGCAGAGAGGGGGAATTCTGCAACTCCAAAGGAGGCTTACCCCGGAGTTCCACAAAAGTCTTATGTAAGTTAAGTCTCCGTTTCCCTACCAGGATATGCCCTGAACTCCTGGCCAGTCTGAAGAAGGCTGAGTTACTCTGAGGAACATTATTCAACATTTGGTGTCCAGTTTTCCCATTAGCTTAATTCTGCTTTTCCCTGTGACCCTTTCGGTATGTTCAGCATCATTTCTACGGGTGGTTCCATGTACACCTTTAAACAGGGGTGGGACTCTTCCAGTTCTCACCTATTCGCTAGAACCGGTTGTTAACATTCTAGGCAGTTCAGAGAACCGGTTGTTAGAAGAAATGACAGGGCTAATCCTGTAAGGAAGGCAGGAAGGAAACATTCTGGTGTTGCTGACAGAAACTGCCTCTCCATTAACCCTTATTAATTCTTGGCAGGACTAGACTTCCTGTCTCTGGAACTTCTCTGCTGTTATTTTCCCCTCCTTTGCCTGTAGTTTGCTTGTGTGGAGTGACCATTCAAAGTTACAATGGCACTGGAAAAAGTGACTTATGACCATTTTTCACACTTACGACTGTTGCAGCATCCCCACAGTCACAAGAAGCCAGGCGAGGTGATGCGTGCCTCGATGTGAGTGATGTTGAGTTGGCCATGCCCAGCCAGTCACATTACCACTTAGCCACACCCACCAACTAAGCCACACCCACAGAACCGGTTGTTAAAAAAATTGAATCCCACCCCTGCCATTAAGCTAGTGCTCTCTTCCCTTCCTTCTCTCCTTCTTTCCCTCCCTCCCTATTCTTTCCTTCCTCCTCTCCTTCCTTCCTTCTTCTTTCCTTCCCTCCCTCCCTCCCTTCTTTCCATTAAAATTCCCCCCACTAGATCCATGAGGATGCAGGCGGTCTTTAAGGGGCATCTGATGGTGGAGAGACCACCTCAGAAGATCTTGCTAAGGCCTGATGAGAGGCACATCCTCCTCGTGTCTTTTTTTTTCTTGAACCGGGTTTTCCTGTAGTCCAGAGGACACGCCATCTGTACGCGCACACACACAGGCACACCACAGCTGACAGCACAACCCAAGCAGCTGCTCCCTTGCTGTGCACAGGGATATCAGTGATGTCTGTCCACTGCAAAAGACAGAGGCACCTGCAGGACCGCTGCGCTGCGTGCTCAACCGAGCAAATAGACACAAGCAAATGCTTTCATGGGCTTTGTATGCACAGAAATCATTAACTAGCAATGCTCTAAAGCTGAGCTGCTTGAAAATGGGTGAACTTCAATTCCCAGAATTCCCCAGCCAGCTGTGCTGGCTGGGGAATTCTGGGAGTTGAAGTTCACTATCTCCAAGTGGCCAAGGCTGAAAAACATTGCCCTAAAGACACGTGCGTAGAAATCTGGAACATGGGTACCACTGATCTGGTCACACCAATATGATTTGGACCTCGTCCTAGTCTCTTATCCTCAAGAGTCACCCCTTATCTCTTTCTTTAGAAAAGAACCCCGTTGGCTGGTTGGCAAAGAGGGGCACAACGTGGCTGTCCACGCAGGTGCCCAACGCGCCCTTCCTTGCACAAGGAAGCCATTTCCCCCAAAGAGCCCAGCAGATAAGACGTTAAAATAGGACTTCAGCTCTGGAAACTTGGCCCACGAATCGCTGCAGATGTTCCTTCTTTTCTCCCCTTCTTCTGCAATTCTGTCAATCAGGTCCGGAGCAGGAAGGAGGAAAGAAAAGAATAGAAAAAAAATTAAGGAACAAAGAGGAGGAAATCGAAGGCAGAGGCTGCTGAGAGGCAGGTCTGTTCTGCTGTTCCCGGAATAAGCACAGATGAAAACAACGCAGCGGTGTTTGGATTGACAGATTTGACTCTCTTCTGTTTTGTTATTGAAGACCCAGGCTGGGTTGAGATGTACTTTGCCATTTCTCCGAGGCTGGTTCTTCCCCGCCCCCACCTCCTGCAATTCCCCCCCTGCCCCCCCTTGCTATTCTCAGGGCCCTGAGAATGTATTTCTGATTTCCCTGGGTAGGATTCTGACCCTAGTCTCCTCTTATAGAGAGAATGCAGAGTGTTAATTCCGGGGGTCCCCATGCTGAACGCAGAACGATTTAGGCTGAAATGGAATAGGGTCCAGTTTGCTCTCTTCTCTTGGGGCTGAATGGAAACACGCTTCTGGAATCACACCAAGTCCTTGATACGTCTTTCTGGGATGCCAGCCAAGGGTCCAAGGACCCCGGACCAAAGCAGGTAATTTCTAACATCCCTACCTACTACGGGGTTCCTACCACATCCTTGGTGGTTGAAACTCACCCATTTTCTGGGCTTGCTCAATCCGCAGACTCCTAAATGAACTCCCAAACTTTACACACACACACACAGAGTCAGAGCTATAGCCATGTTCAATAAGTTGTGTCTACACTATGTTCAGGGAATGTGGCCCCCTCCATCTGAGCTTGCTTGCTCATTCATATCAAAAGTATTGGGAGTGTTTTCAGCGACTGCAAAATCCAACCGTGAAATTAGATTCTCTTTAACTTGGGCACCAAAGACGGCAAGGTAGCGCCAAGGGCAGACAAAGGAGCTGTAGAGATCAAAGCCTCGGGAGATCAGTGGCCAGTCTGTACGAAGGACGGCCTCCTTCACTTGGCTGAGAAGTCAGAAGGTCTTACAGGAGGGTAGAAGGAACTCTCTGCCACCTTAAGAGTCCCTCGGGCATCGAGGAGATCCAATCAGTCCATCCTGAAGGAAACCAGCCCTGACCGTCCTTTGGAAGGACAGATCGTGAGGCTGAAGCTCAGCTACGCTGGCTACCAAGTCACAGAAGGGAGGAACTGATGGAGGGCGGAAGGAGAAAGGGACCGCAGAGGAGGAGAGGGTGAGAGAGAGAGAGAGACGCTGACGTCATGAACATGAATTTGGACAAAGTCAGGGAGACAGTGGGAAGCAGGGAGGCAGGGGCTGGTGTGCCGTGATCCACGGGCTTGCAAAGCCTTGACCGCTACACGGAAAAAGGCACGGGGTCCTCAGCGCCAGAGCTGGGAAGAGAAGGACCGTGTGATGTCTGGAGGGGCTGAGATGCAGAGCAGACATTCCATCTTCCTATGATTTGTCCAGAGATAAACCGCAGCCCCCCTGGTGGCGCCGGCCTTGGTCGCCTGCTGTTGCCATAGAGATGGCCTCTGGACAAGCATGTGAGTGCCCCCTCCTCTCTCTCTCTCTCTCTCTCTCTCTCTCCCCATCTGGACAAAGCCCTTCCAACTTCCACTAACTTCTTTCCAGCTTTGTCCACCAGGGTGAGGCGCCTGTAGAAGGAAAAACAAAGCAGAGTTGTCTTTGGAAGGTTCCCGTGCGTTTTCATTCAGTCTTTCATGAGGTGGAGCAAATTGGGAAGCTCTCCTCTCTTCGTCTCTCCTCCGCCTCCTGTGATTCCTTCCTCCTTTTTCCTTC